ATGAGAGCGCTGGTCATGGGCAGATGATGGATGTGGAGACGTCGTATTCAGACTTCATCAACTGTGATCGCACAGGCCGCAGGAACGCAGTGCCCGACATCTCAGGAGAGGGGTCAGTAGCGACCAGCACCAGTGAACTTACCAAAGACATGGCAGAGATGGACCTGAAGGCTGCAGGTCAGTAATGCCACATCAGAATGAATGTGTGTTATACAGTGTGAAAGCAAATCGGAGAAAATAAGCATATAGTTTTTCATATTACAAACAAAGAATTTGCTTGGCAAGATTTAGACTGGCCGACAGTATAAAATCCAAAGACTGTATGTAAAAGATGGACATGACTTTGGGATTGCTCATTTGTTTGTGGAGCCTTAGCCAGTTGTTAACGCTACATAGATATCAGTTGTTTAGCAAGATTAATCTATTTATTTATTTGTTTTACAACATTAAATGTAGGTTTCTTAATTTGGAACATAATGACAAAAACCCCCCCCAAATAATAATATTTAAAAAAACAACAATAGATCCTTAGAAGGTATTAAATCATTATAATACAACTTCATATGAACAGTAACATATGACACATTGCACCATGTCATTATTTTTTTTTTTTAACAAAAACTGAGCCAGAATGCAGAATTGTGCATGAAGAACTACCGTAAGTGTCCCTCATGATTCGATAGCCTGTAGAACCACTTTCAGAAGCAAGTGCAGGCATGCATGATCAAGTTTCAACTTGATTGCCAACGATGGCTGAACCTTTCTTCTTTTGTCTTGTCTGTCCAAACCAGAAGTCTTGCGGTTTGTTCAGAAGCAATCTTGCAAACCTAAGATGCCATGTTCTTTTTATAGACAAGAGACTTTCTCCTGGCAAACCCTGCCAAACAAACCATACTTGTTCAGTCTATTTCTAATTGTACTGTCATGAACTTTAAGGCTCGTTGAGACCTGTCTGAAATGACTGAAATGGAATTCTTGGGGTTTTTTGTAATTTCTCCGAGCATTGCACAATCTGACCTTGGGGTTATTTCACTGGGACATTCACTCCTGGGCAACATATTGGATTTTTTTCTGCTGAATAATCTTTGTAGAATGATAGACGTATTCAAAGTGTTTGGATATGGCCTTACTGATGCACAGAAATAACTGCTTCTTTAAGATCATCATGTTGGCTTCTGTATTTTCATTTTTGTTATCTAATATTAATAAATCACAGCATGCTGTTTTTTATGTTGCTCATCTGAGGTTGTATTTTAATTATTAACTAATTTTAAAGGAATTTTTAAAATGATGTTCAGAGGTGTAAAACGAGTACGCATGAGGCACAAGGTCTGTGGTTAGACCAGTTTGGGTATTTGGTTGACTGTAAGAAAGATTAATTGATGCTGATGAGACGCCACTTAAATCATTTAAATGAATTAAAGTCTAAAAGTAAAGAAAAGTCACATTTTCTCCATCCCTCTGTGATTACAGTCAGGCAAATAAAATAAAGACATGGCTTTAAATCTGAGAAGGAAAACTATTTTTGAGTCTGTTGGAGAACAGCAGTGAGACTGTTATAGAGGCCTGAGCTACATGAAGATTTCACACTACTAGAAGTCCTTTGTTTTGTTGTTGTTTCTCACAGATATCTGTAAAATTCTTCCAGAATCGCACCATTAATCTGCCAAATCTTCTTTCTGCCAGACCGGAGCTGAAAGAACTGTTGTGATTTCTACTCTGAAAAAAAACAAACAGTTTAACCACAATTCATCATCCTGAAGCTAGTTGAGAAGAATTCCTGCTTATCTGTGCAAGGCTATTACTTTGATCTAAGCCACATTAAAGTCTTATCTCTTTGACAAAACACCGCCTGTACTAGATGCACCAAAATATACCACAGAAACACAATTTCACTCAGTTTATGGTCTCGGTGAGATTTGATCGTTGTCTCAGTGTTAAATTAATTGTAACTGCAGCACAGTGACACATCGTTGTGGCATCCTTCGGTCTTAGTCAAAGGTCTACTTTTTAAGAGGAAGGTGTCTTAATGTCAGTTGTACCAGACTGCATTGTTGTGTGTTACACGGTTGTTCTTGCTGGTTTTGTTTTCAGTCAAAGACAATTTTCCCATAAGTTGACAATTAAATGACCGAGATAAATCAAACCACAGGATGCTGATATTGTGAGGAGAGTCAAATCATACTAACACTGGGCTGCTGAAGGAAGTTGTATTTCCTTCCTCAGGATTCTCTTACTACTTGGATTGCCGTATGTCTTTTGGAGTTAAATTAAAAGTATCTTTCACTTTCTTTTTTTTTTCTCCCTGACCTGGCAGGAGGAGACCCAGGGTCCTCCCCAGCCCCAGAGGCGGAGGGCTCCAATAGCCAAGCTGCCCAGGGAAGCGGAGGCCCATCCTAAGCTCAGCCAGAGACCGAAGGGAGGCAGAGAAATGTAGAGAGGAAGCAGGTGAAAGTAGAGAGACATGGAGTAAGGAAATGGAGAGTGTTGGTATTGGTTCTCTTGAGGACATGAGGACACTTTCGCTCACTGCCGGCCTCTTTGGAGCTTCAGGGGCTCCAAATGTTCGCCTTTTTATTGAATCCGATTGTACTACGGGGAACAGAACAGAGTAGAACTGACAGCTGAGATGCTGCGCTTTTGCTTTATACTCTGTTAGTTATTTATATTCCTGACGAGAGAAGAAAGCACAGAAACTTTGGATTAAGGTCTGCGGAGATGGACTGAGCTAAACAGAATTCGTTCATAACAACACTCGAAATGTTGCTCCAGCCTAATGTGGGACTGTCATGGAGGGGTATTCATTATCATCTGTTTGTCATTTTCTTTCTATGTATGTGTGTGTTTGTGATCCTGGTGTTCAGTTTCACCGTCGAGTCTTTTCTTTATATATTTACCAACATAGTCCCCATTTTACTGTCGTGTATGGAAATTCATATTTATTGCTAAATGTTCAGTGATAACTTTGTGATAGCAATTTTCTTTGTGTAATAAAATACTTATGAATTACTGCAATGTTTGTATTTTATGTTTTCGTTGATAATTAACTATATTTTGCAGGTTGCCGTACTTAAAATCTGAACCAGAGCAGGCATAGAAGTTGTGAAGGTGGTGACTCTCAGCCAAACCGGGATTAATGAGTTCGGGGTTAAGCTGCACCAGAACCATAAATAAAACTGAACGCTGCTTTTGTGTGTTTTAGTGGCCACAGGAAGCTAATGTTTACATTTCCACATAGCTTGGCCCCTTACTCCCATTTATCTCTTCATACAATAAAGAAATCTTTAGTTACAATATTTGGGGGTTACGAGGCTTTTGATAAATGATTAGATCAGAGTTTACTTCATATTAATGATCGGGCTTCCTTTGAAAGATATTTAAAGTTACCGTTGATTTAAACTGTCACAGAAAATAAATGATGGCAAGCAGGAACATTTTATAGTAGCTTTTATTTTGTTTTCTTATAAATTCCATAAATGTGGTTATAAATGGATGTGCTTTTTTAAATTTTTTTAATAAATACATACATCAAACAAGAGTAAAGAGAGATGTTGTCTATCTAGGTAACAGAAGTGTGCCACCTAGTGTACACATGTAAGGCTAAACTTTTGGTATTGAGCTGTGTTCGCCTGACGCGCCCTGAAGTTTTGCACATACAAGGGAAAAAGCACATGTCTCTAACACTGGATTACGATACTTCACCTGCAACTGAACAGTGGATATTCAAATTGAACTATATTTTGCAGTTCTTAGTCTCCACTGCTTTCAGTTATCCTTCATGTCATTGTTTTCTTCAAACATGAACGTTTAAGGTGTGAACTACAAATAACCTCCCCTATTTTTCCTTTTCCAGTCTGGTTATGTGTTAAACCTGTTACTTAGAAGTGTAATTGTGCATTCAATGCTTCCCTGATTCTCCTTACAACAAAAGGATGTAAACACAAGATGATAAATACAGGATGTATTAAAAAAATCATCCGATTTCAAAAGGCTATTTTCGTTTAAACAATGGACATAGACGCTTGCAGTAAAGTTTAAAATATATGGCTGAATATAAAATTTTACATACAAAACGTTCACAAGTGATCAATGTGTCGTACTCGGGCCACGCGGCGTATGTCCGTACGAGAGTCAAACTCCTCCCACACTTTTGCGAACGTGTCTGGAGTCAACGGCTGCAGAATTAAAGCACATTGAAATCGGATGATTCTTTTTGATTCACCCTGTATATCCAAAGTTCTGATATAACACAATATGTTTCATTCTATATTTTTGGACACAGCAGGGGACCCTGACTATGTCCAAAACAAGCACCCATAACTAACACATTAAAGCTATGCAAATACTAAGTATGATTAAAATGAAATCTGGGATCCGGCCCATAAAAATGCAAAAAGCCCAAGTGTACATTTGGGTATTCTTCCTTTCAAGGTTATCTTCTTCTGCATCTCTTTACCACTTCCAGCACAGCTGCTGTTTTTAGATTCCTTCATAGACATCTTATTCTGTCCCCTTGTCTTCCTACCACTGCAGTATATGCTCCTCCTACAGCTTCCAGTGTTTTCCTAAGCCAACTGAGAGACAATCTGGTGTTTCCTGAATCTGCCTGAACCACCTCAGTGAGATCTGTTCAATGCAAAAGAGTAGCTCCACCATGAATGAGCTCCTCTCCCTGTCATTTTAGAGTTAGCCCAGACACCTTCAATTAGATTTTCATTTTACGAGGCAGATGAAGCCACAGGGAGCCAATTCTGGTAACCAGGGCTGGTTTTGAGTGAAGATTTTGTGTTTTTGTCATGCAGAAAACTTCTGTGCCTTTAATGCCACGTGTGCCATCACAGCTGATGTTTTCTCTCTGTTGGAGGTCTGTGGTGAAAGTCACAAGCGTACACAATGGGCCTTCTATGGAACAATATAAAAATAGCAGTGGTGCTGGAAGCGATCTAGAGATGTGCAAGAAGGGGAAAAAAAGAAAAAAAAAAAAAAAAAGCACAGCCAAATTTAAATTATGTATAGTTTTTGATTTTTGTGGTTTTTGTGCTTGCACCTTGTAATCAGATTCAATGTTGCTAAATACACAAACAGATGATATACAGGTATGTAAGATGAAGGATGCTACCCATTGGTAAACAGCATATCTGATGTAATATTCTGTGTATGTTGTTTGTTGGGTTACAAATGACTAAAAACATGTTCCACTGCATCACATGGAAGATTAAGGTCTCGGAGTGATTTGTCCCTGCTTTAGGTTTCTCCTCAGAATTGCTGGTCAGGGTTAAAAGGCAGTGCTCTGGATCATCTCATAGGCCTCATTGAGTGTTTTAAGCAGCTCTTCCTTTTCCTTGGCAGGTAGAAAGCTTGACTGTGCAGAGCAAATGTTCTGTAAGACACAAGACAGATTTCACATTGAGCTGGGGAATTAACTTTTAGGGAATGGTTCAGGAATCTGGGAACTTAGTCACACTCTCATCAACAGTAAGCAGTCAGCTAGAAGTTTCATACTCATGTATGTGCAGTGAATATAGAGGTACAGGAGAAAAACAGTGTCTTGTGCATCTTCAAATTCATATACAGATGCTATATGATAAATGCACAGAGAAATATATGGAGCTACTGAAGCATTAATCTTTAAAACACAATTTGCATTTGCTAGTTTTGCAATAAATGTCCTGAATCAGCAAAGATTGATGAGATGAGATTGATGAAGGCAGAAACGATGCAGAATGCTGCAGCTTACTGCTTAATGGCACTGTTGTGCTTTTGAATACTTATGCTTGCTTATCATATATAAAATAAAAAACTAAATGTAACTCCACAATTGGTGACTTTGGACCAGAGTTTCTGTGAATCCTGGTGCAATATGGCATGAAAAGACACATGTCATACTCCCAGTGATGACAGGCATTCTCTTCTGTCACTCTTCCTGGTCAGGAAATAGTCTGGCAATTAATCCTCCAGTAAAATCAAAATGTGCCCTTTTTACATTATGTTAGTCTTTATTTAACCACAATGTTGCAATTACTGAGCTTTATAGCTCATATTCGTTATCTCTATAGAGCTATGCTAGCTGTTTCCTGGATGTAGCTTCACAATCTGCTATAAAGATTAAATGAGCATTGATCTAAGTTCGCTCTTGGAAAAAAGCCAATTAAAATGTCAGTGTCACCATCCTTTTAATAAGCTCTTGGAAAATTATTCCAAACCTGGTGGAACTTGGATGTGAAGCTCAATTGGTGCATTGGTTAAAATGCGTCTGAGGCTCTTCGGTGAACAGTGGATTATTTCTCCATGGAAGGTTTGGTCCCTGCTTCAATTAACGATGCAATATACCTTGCAATTACACCCCCTGCCTTCTTTTCAAACCATATTCAAATGAAGTCTTCCTGTGAACTACTGCTATGATTATTCATGCATTTGATCTCACCAGTCGTTTGAATTCCTCCTCGGTGAATCCCATGTGTTGGTGTGCTGTCTGGTAGTCGTGATGCAGGTTGGAGTTAAAGATCAGAGGGTCATCTGTGTTCAGAGAGTAGTTAGCTTTGTCTTTCATGAACCTGCACGAAAGAAATGGTACGAAAATGAATAGATGCCCAAAGTTAGTTAATATTTAAATAAAATAATTGAATTTTTTTTATAAAAAAAAACAAAAGAAACTGACGTGATGACGGGGTGTGTGGTGAAGTCTGCGTTGCAGGCACCTGTTAGCTTACTCGAAATAGGACACGTCTGCAATCAGAACAGCAAAGGCAAAACTGAGAGGTCAAAATATTCCGGTCTTTCTTTTTCTAATTCAATTCTATTTTATTTATATAGCGCCAAATCACGACAAAGGTCGCCTCAGTGCTTCCCTGATTCTCCTTACAACAAAAGGATGTAAACACAAGATGAGGTGTTTCTAAAACACCTTTTTCACAGTAGACATTTTGACTTGTGGCAGGAAAAGCCCACTTGGACTTAATGATGCCATAGATTCCTTAAGTGCCGCACTAAGGCATCAGAGACTACTCCAAGGTCTTTTCTTTTTATTCTGTACCTCCTTAACTCCTCAAAACTTCCTACTTGTGAAATCAATCTGAGTGTCCCATCTCAAAGGATGTCTTCATTCCTAAACTACATCTGAAGGACGGAGGAGAGAGGAACTTCTTGCAAGAGCTAAAATTGAGGATCCGCAGCTATATACTTTGCAGAAATCTTCTTACCCATGACGTATAAAAGAGCCATGACATAGAGCTGGTATATATGTAGCTGAAGCACTCTAAAGATAAGGTTTCTTTGTGTTCATATGTTGTTTCATTTATTTAAGATGATCAACTGCATGAAAAGGACACAAATATTCTGTCCTTGTCACATTCTGCCATGTTGTGAATTTATCTAAAGGCAGTATGCCTAAATATATATAAACCATCATCAACAGCTGACATCTGAGACCAGAAAATACAGCTGGAGGCTACAGCAAAACAATAAACAGAGCTCTGTGAGAATGTCTGATTTTATAAAGTGTCTCTTCCACTTGCAGGAAAGGATGCAAGGAATTGACGAAGAGGCAAACATCAAATTCTCCACTAGGGGTCAGTGTATCACTGTCGCTAAGTAGATACTTAGTAGCCCTCCAGTCCACTTATCAATGTAATTATCTAGTAGAACAATCTCATTTCCTGTCTGTAATGAGCAATATGATCAAAGAGCAAAGTACATTTAATAGATTAGATAACTTTGCGTATGATTCATATTTATAATGAAAATGCTGAGAATTTCACACAGTTCTTTACCTCAAAGTGCATGTTTTGAGCCAGCAGTTTTTTGTACAGGTCGTCGTCCTCCAGAGTGCGGTAACCGTGTCCAACACGTTCAGCTTTCAGCACTTCCACAGCCTAAATTTGAAACAGAAATTCATAACATAGAGGTGAAAGGTTATAAAGTGTAGAAAATTGCACATGTCAGCAGTGCCTTCAAGCTATTTCTGGAGGCACATTCAGATGTTATGCCATAGCTGAACTGTCAGTTTAAAGGATGGGTTCTTTAGAGCGCAGCCGTTTTATTTTAGTCAGACATAAAGTGGTTATGCACTACAGAAGTTTGGATGGACATTAAAAAATAAGCACAGTATGTAGACCTATATTGGGTTCTTAAGTATACCCTTGTAGGCCCCACAGGAGTTTGAATGACCCATGCCGCTGCCAGTCAGCAACAGCTGCGAAGGATGCAGTCCGTGTTACCAGGTAGATGTTTAGACAACATCAAACGAAACTGAGAACACTTCTGTAGCTTCAGTGTAGGGTGAGCGGTAGATGTGTGACCCAAAGTGAGCGTTTGAGGAAAGTTTGCTCTATTTAAATATCTTGTCTACGCAGTAAGAATGTGCACAGATCTAAATAGAGGGGCAGGGTTTTGTACAATAACTTATAACGAGTAATAACGGGTTACTGCATGATTAGTGACAGCAGCTGTGACACTTTATTTCGACTGGTACTTCTACTCATTTTGAGCACTTTCTGCTACATCTCTCATTCGCACAAATTCATGCAGTGCTTTTATCTATACCTCAATGCTTTTATCTATCATTCACACACACACTCACACGATGGATGCGTCAGGGACAACATAAGGCTCAGTATCACAGTAATCCAAGAAAACTGATCCCCTGACTTTCTGATTGACAGACAACCTGTTCTACTACATGAGCCGCAGTCGCCCAACAGTCTACAGTTAGTGTCGCATAATTTATTTCAGTTATACTCCAATGATAATGAACCAGCTATCGAAGAAGTTGTGCTAAAATTTGTCTGCTCTCTGCTGGAGGAAAGGGGCCCTCTCAGGGTTGGCCGTGGGTGTGCCTCACATGTTTGTTATGTTGTTGGACCTTCACATGTCCGTTGTTGTGTCGTCCTTTACCCATATATAGTATTTACTCAGTGTTAAATGTATTCTTTTACCAGGCTTCATATGGGCAACACTAAATATAAAACGCTTATTTTATTGACATGCCCGCCCTTTTTGTTGTCACTGTGTGGCTTGATCGTTTAGTTTACAGGTATTTTAGGATATATAAGCACTAACATGACTCCACCACCTCACTCAGAAATGTCTCATAGTTGAGCTGCTTACTTCCTTAAAATGCACACAGTACGTATGGAGCAATTTAAAGGCACTCCCAATTTGTTTTCAAACTAACCTTCAGCTGGGCTACAGCGGACATAGAGCTATGCTCTTCTTGTTTTCTTTGGACCTCTGCCCTTAATTCTGTTGTTAACATGTGGCTTGACTGTTTTGTTTAAACGTGCTTTTACGGACAGTTAAACAATCAGTAGGCTGCACCAGCCTGTTCACAAATGTCTCAAGTTATTGTTGAACAGCTCACCTCCTTCACCACAGAGGCCGGCCCCACCTCGCCAGCATGAACTGTCCTGTGGATCCCACAGCGTACCGCTTCCTGGGAACAAAATCAATCATGAAACGCAGCAGCAATCAAAGGGCTCAGTCAAACATTTGGTTTCCACATCTGTAATGTGTACCACTGGCTCGAGTGCCGTTTATAATGTAGACAGGTTCTTGTACACACTTATTCTGGCAGAAGTGAAAACTTTAATAAACGTTCCCCCAGTGGGTACACATTGAAATAAAAATGAATGGTAAATGGCCTGTATTTATATAGCGCTTTTCTAGTCCCTAAGGACCCCAAAGCGCTTTACATATCCAGTCATCCACCCATTCACACACTGGTGATGGCAAGCTACATTGTAGCCACAGCCACCCTGGGGCGCACTGACAGAGGCGAGGCTGCCGGACACTGGCGCCACCGGGCCCTCTGACCACCACCAGTAGGCAACGGGTGAAGTGTCTTGCCCAAGGACACAACGACCGAGACTGTCCAAGCTGGGGCTCGAACCGGCAACCTTCCGATTACAAGGCGAACTCCCAACTCTTGAGCCACGATCGCCCCAATGTTTAATTTGTCATCGAAGTAAACTAAATATAGAGAAGGCATTACTCTGGTTTGAACATCTGGTTTCATTTTAGCATCTACAACCTCTGGCACACCGAGTGTGTCCTGCTTAATCAGCTCATACTGCATGCATCTCATGATCACATATGAAGATAACCTTCAATATTAGGGAGGACTTTGTTCTGTCAGCTCTGGTACTCGTTAATAATTAACGTACAGTGTGGGGGCTTGTATATACATTTCACAGCAGATAGTGATAAATACTGCTCGTCATAAAGAGATGTTAGAAAAACAATGTCTCTCTAAAGGAAAAACAAAGAATGACAAAAATGTAACAAATAAAATGTATGCAATGAATACAATGTAAACTGTAGATTTACTTAATGCACATACAGTTGCACTGAAAGGTTTTCTGTGAATTATTCTGGTGCTTAACGATTGTACACCACGTATTTTCACTCAGAGTTTGAGACACAAAGTTTTAGTTATTTGGGGTTGTCTGAAATAAAAATTCTGTATACAGGGTTGGAAAATACAAGCAAAACCCCTGCGATTATTATGCCAGAAGTTTGTTGAAAGCGTTTGGTCAACATGAGCATTCTTAGGTACTTTTAACAAAATGTGGGTATTATTAGTTGTACTAGATGCATTTGTATGTGTTTGTCAGTCCAGTGAGTGTGGTAAAATAAGCCCAGCTGTATTTAATCACGAGCATTAACAGAAATTTGAGAGGCCTTGGCCTCAAGAAGTTAGTCAGGTTTTTTTTTCTGGATGTTGTGCAATGACTCCAAAGAAAAAGAACAGCTCACAGAAATCACTGCAAGCCCAAACATTCATATCCAAGACGAGTGCATGCAACTTTCAGCTGCAACTGTGTTATTTACCTATCTATACGCACATGTACGCATGCAGGCTGTTTACCTTACACTGAATAACATTACAGAAATGCTTCAGTCATTCAGATGGTATTGTACTTTCTGTTGATGCTTAATGCATAATGAGCCAGCCAACAAAATTCATGCAACATCTGCAGATGCTGCACTGGAATTGCACAACATGGTTTACAACTAGCTTATGAATTACTTTCATTGACGCACAAGCCGAGGCAGTGACTGAAAGGAATTTTTTTCATGCTCACAGATGAAAGTTCATGTAGTGTTTTCTTATACTATTACTACATCAACACGTTGTGTTTGGGGGGGGGGGTATTAATATTAAAACAGCAGCTTAGTAAATGATTCAAGTATCCAGTGAGGACAAGTTTTAGGCTAAACTCATTATTTACTGTAATGTTTAACTGCACATGACTCAAAAAGACTTCAAGGGTTTGAAATTGTGATTCTTTTTGAGGTACCCATTAGTTATTAATAATTTCTAGTGTTATTTCCCCCCAGACTTTTGTGTTTTCATGCCTTAGTCTTTGCTAGTTATGTGTTTTTAGATTCTTACTTTGAATTTTTTATGATTTTCTTCTTTTTTTCTGCCTCTGCAATCGTATGCCCTCATTTGTTTCACATGTGTTTAATTGTTCCTACCTACTTCTCATTTAAAGCTTGTTTAAAGGTTGCTGCTGTGAAGTTCCCACTCTCTGGAGGAACTTCTCAGAAAAGCTCAAAATATTTGACGTAACTCATCATAATGTGTTTGAACTGCTGTCATCAGATGACACAGGATATGTGCACATTTTCTGAATGTCTGTCTTTTTGTTTAGCCTTCCCTATTTATATTTTGTTTTATTTATTTTGTATATAACGTTTATACCTTAAAGGGTACTGCACTTCATTTCTTAGTGTGCAATGCCAATAAAGAGATTCTGATTTCTAATCACCACCAAGTGTGTTTTTCCTGCCTTTCCAATTTTTGTATTCTATTTGCCAGATTTTTGCTACAGTTTCTCTCCTGTGCATCACTGACAGTAACAACAGAATACCAAAACAAACGACCACAGTCAGATCTCTTTAGGAGTATTTAGCTCTATTATTATTGCTACTCTTGTTTTCATACAAAAAAAGTATGAAATACAAATTATGATATGATACCTACCCATGCTGGTAATCATAACCCCTCCTGTCTTTCAGAATGTAATTAATGTAAAATTGATGTAATTAACTGATGTAAAATATCCAGCACTTCAGTGCATTAAGTGATTAATCTACTTCCTTCATTAAGGTCTGACAGGGAAAACTGATTACTTACTGTGGTGTTCCCAGAATTAATCAATACTGGCTGGCAGAAAAAGAAATTGGATTTTTCTGACAAGCTTCACTCCATAAGAGGAAATTGGTTTGGGGAAATTAGATTTTTCTCCCATATTTGCTGGATAGAGATATGCATCAGTACATAAATTCTCTATATAGTGGTCTATGCCAGTAAATAAATACAACTTTCTCACTGAGAAAATTTACTCTGCGGCTGTACTTAGCTGCAGCGTCAAAAGAAAACTAGGATTATGATAAAATACACAATCTAAATTACATTTTACTGCATGCTCCTCTAAATATGCAACTAAAATTGGTGATAGTTAAAAGGGCAGAGAAAACATAGTGATCAATTCTAAGGAGAGCGTCTTTATCATATATTGCAACCAGGGCCAATAGTTTGAGACATTTTACCTATAACCAGAAGAAGAAGGCAAACTCAGGGCATTACCAAAGAAAAACAGATTATATGTCAATCTGTCCTACAGCTGTCAGGATATTTCAGCAGACCAGCAAATAGACTAACGATGTCATAAAGCCCCCATTCCATAGAAGTTATACACCAATTAAATCCACAATGATTACACGCCCACAGTGATATTGCTAAAACATTAATGCAAAGTGTAAACATAACCACGATCACCCGCTTAGTTAAGTGTCTGTGCATGCTCGAGCTTGCTAACTAGGAACTACGATCAAGGCTGTCAGGCATCTTATTAGGTAAATTGTTGTAAAACAAAAATATTGTACCAGCTGAAGTTTTTACCATATATTTCTGTGAGATGATAAAGTCTTTATTCCAGTCTGACTCAGAAATACATTTGCACCAAACCAATTTCTTAAAAAGTACTAAAAACATTTAAAATGTGCAAAAATGTTTACATCCGGTGGTGCTAGAGGAAAAGTCGGGGCATGACCAAAATAGCATCTGAGAAGCATTTTCTCCTAAATCTGTATGTAAGACATCTTATACCATGTAAGGGATAAACATCATTCACTGACAGTGTTGCATTAAAATGCAGGTCAATAGAATTTATCCTTTGGGGACCATTTATTTTAAGGTTCCCAAAGGATTTCATGGTAATGCATCCAACGGTTATGAATTTTGACTGTGGAAAATTACGATCCCACAAACGTCTCTCTCCATGCAGCTGTAAAATAAAGCTTCCAATACTCTAAGGATGCCTGAAAGTTAATGATGCAAAAAAAGCAGCTATGTTTATCTGGCTGTAGCCACTCGGAGCATGACAGACTCTACGACTGTAAAGGTGTTTTTTTAAAGGTATTGTAGTTAGGCATTTCTTTTTAGATTTTACAACTGTAAAGGTATTTTTAGGACCTCAAAAATGACATAATACTTTATTGTTACAGCTGAAGGGGGTGAGGCTGGATTATATGGCATTGTTGTGAAACAAAGACAATTTAAAGTTCCTTCTGATGGATGATGTTCATCATACTGGTGTTTCAACAAGCTCACCTCATAGGCCTCCATGTGTTCAGGATTGGCTTCACAGTTGAGAGACTCATCACCTGCCAAATCAATGGCAACCACTCCCTCATCCTTATATTTCTTACACAGCTCCACAACATCCTTTGACCAGCCTGGAGAATTTAAAACATACATGTGTTACCAAACAGCTTGGTCCTGCTAACTGATAGCACACATGCTAAATGATACATAAATGTGACGACATGATTAATCTTCTTTTATGACAAGTTAAAGACAACTTTAATGAACATTCATAACTGTATTCACCTGGCTGATAATAACAGAGGTTTTGTTCTTAATGAAACAGTCTGTAAAGTCAATGTGAAACCAGTGCCAGCAACATGTGACCTTTTTAACCTTTGAACATACAAACGTGGTTGCTCCATGCTGATCTCCTGGTTTTATTATTATTGCAAAAACACTGTTTCTTATCTAATGTTCAGCACGAAAGCAATAAAGTGTTTCCTCAACTTGGCGCGTCACATCCTGTCTGTTATTACTTCACTCATATCTATTCTACTTTCACATAAATCCAAAGTTACGTAAGTACGCACTGTAACGTGTTTAAGCATAAACTACTCTACCTGCATGCTACAGCTTGTAATGCATCTGTATTTGCTGTCTAAACCATAACAAATTCAGATGTCCCGTTCACAAAGTCACAAATGAAAATAAAATGTAAACAGCTTCAGCCTGTTTTTGTGAGAGTTGTACTAGAAAATGCACGATGGCAGATATGAGTTTCACTTGGCGGTTATACCGGAAACAGCTGCAGGAACGGAGTAGAGCAAAGGACACATCTCTACGATCAGTGCTGCTGCTAACGGTAACTGCTCATGTTACCTCAGTTAGAATTACTGATACAGCAGTTTGAAGTGTGTACTTGTGCAGATACTAGCAGCACTCGTTAGCCCTCTCCTGTGAAAGCTGTGGATCTCTAATGCTTTTTTAAAATATAATCCTTGATGTTTTCTTGCCTCTAAATACAAGTAATATTGTTATTTTCTTTGATGGCCAAAAACCTCAACAAATGTTCAGTGATCAAATCCTTCTGAGGATTAATCCTAATTACTTTGGAGCTATTTAATCAATAACCACTGAGAGAAAATACCAAAACCTGAGGCTTTCTCATTACCCTCAGATATCCTTTTAAGTGCTAATTAGGGAACGTTTATCTATGATCATCAGTTCCTCCATTTTCTTAACTGTTTATCAAATTCAGTAATAGTAGGTGACTGGAGCCTATCTCAGCTGTCAAGGAGTGACAGAACACCCTGCACATGTTACTGGTTTATCACAGCTTGTGACTGATGTGGAAAAATGAATAGTTTACAAACTGTGGGTCTCCAGTTATACCTAAATACTACACCACAAAAACTGTGATGTTTTGAGTACCGCTGGTCTTTTTCAGACAGTAATGCCCATAACATCACCACACTAAATCACACGCCGTTTGTAACATGATTCTGGGACGTATAAATGGGTCACAGGATAGAGAGTATGTCTGCTGACACTGGGCCAAGGGTGAGGTAGATGATGCTGACACAGAGGGATGGACTACCATCTACACATACAGCTAATTTAGAATGACCAAATAACCTGACTGTGGGAAAGGTTAAGCACCTGAATCACCCAGTGAGGCCACTATATCAGCTGATATTAGCTACTTGTTGATGTATTAGTATTACTATTAATGACAACCAATAAATAAAATAATAAAGCATAGCAGACATGGGAACCACCCTTAGTTCGTCTGCCAGAAGGGAATTCTGTAGCTTTCTTGTGTGTAGCACATTTATATTGCACATTTAGTACACCACAAACTTATCAGCTAACCAGGCAGAGCCAAGCAGAATAAATAAGTAATCCAGGACTTTTAAGAATATATTTACACTGCACTGTCATTTTTCTAAGATCTTTGTAAAACCTCGTAAACATCTACACAAATTTTAGGGAAATCTGTCAATATATTGTGTATCTGAGAGGAGAAAATATTGGCTCATATATTCGATTTTTAAATCACCAAATAGTGGCAAATCCACTATCGTTCAGGCTCTGAACGATAGTGGATTTGCCACATGCAAACTCCTCACAGAAAGGCTCCATCCACCTAGATGGTTTGTCCTCAGAAACCTCTGGATGTGAGTGCAGTGCTAACCATCAGCTGAACTAACACAGTCACATTAGCAATTTCATTTCATGAGCTCAAAATGCTTTTAAAACAGTCCATCAGACATTCATACAGTGCTCATTGGCGACCAACAATTTGTAGCATATTCATTTGAAAGAAATACAAAAGGTTTGCATATCTATATCTATATCTATATAGTATAAATTAAGTTAGCATGTTGTGTTTTTCTGTGGCGCTTGTGTTCATTTTATTTTTATTTTCTAAAAACAATAACTGAGGCAGTGGCTAAGGCAGAACACAGTACAGCAAGAAACCTTATCTCACAAGGTTGTGTGAGCAGACAGGAGCATGAACAGTTCATTACTTGGCATGTGGCGCATGCAGCATAGAATGGACCTGGCTTTGATTTTGAACTCTCTCTCCCCCTCGCTGAGGCCCTCGTTAACCAGTCTCACCACCTCATCTGGGCTCAGGTCGCCCCTGAGCAAAGACAATAAGAAACATTCCAGTAAATGAATCAGAAGTTTATTTGATCCTTTATTTGAGCTGTGCAAACCAAATACCTACTCTTCCTGGTTCCATGGAATTGGCTTCACTCCACTGTTAGCTAGAAAATGTGGGCTGTATCTAACTTCAACATAAATCACTCCTTCTTTGGCTTTGTCTTCAACAAACTCACGGGCTATCCTTTTAATGGCCTCTCGGTCTCCACTGAGAATTGAAACAGAAAAACACAGAACAAATTAAAATGCCCATTAGCTCTGATAAGCTTATCTCAATGATAAAAAAAAAAGCAAAAGCACTGGCCACTCCTAACCAGCTATCTATACATTACTGTCTTTCACAATGCGCAGTATAAGCATTTCTAGGAGTTAGCTCAAGTGTTATTGATATGATCTATGATACGGGACGTATTTTTTTGCTGATTGATTTATAATCTGTATTAGATTAAATTCGCTGACACTGACAACTATTCCATGTTGTGCATAATGATCCTCTCGGTTTTCTTCTACAATTTAAAACCAGGTGAAATAAGCAAAACGTTTTTATCATTTACACTGACATGTTAAATTATGTACAAATTCTTCCAAGTGATCCCACCTTATTGAAATTATGTTTAATACTTCGTGTTGACACACTGTAGGAGATCCAGTGCACATTGGAGAGGTATAAGTACAAGGACTTTAAGGACTTTAAGGACCCCAAAATGTTGAATGCCCTTTCTGACACAATGTCAAAGGAATTTGTTTCTCCTCCTGGGATCAATCCAGGGGGTCTCGTTTGTTAGGGGAATTTGTAAAACACTTTCTTTTCAGATGAAATTGTTTCATAATTTTCTGCATGACAATACAATACTTTCATACTGGGCGAATACTGAGAGAATTCGAGCTTTCCCTCTTTTCCAGCAGCACATTTTCACTTGCACATCATGTGACTGCAAACAACGCTGCTTCCAGCATTTACAATGAAAGCGAAAGCTCATTGACCAGCCTTGAATGCATGTTCTGCAGTGTCCTCACAGTAACCCCCTCAGAACACACACACAGCCTCATCACTGCCAAGCTCATACAACAATTCGGCCTAAGCTCAACTCAGCCTAGCAGGTTCCCTGTGTTGTTGAAGCTGTCCTGGCTTTAAGCGCCTTGATTCAGAAGAGTCCATTCAGCACAACTGCATGAAGCATTCCAGACATTATACAGACCGTCATTGTTGAATTCTTTTATGGCCATTGAACATTTGAAGGCCTATACTCGGTCTTTTTAAATGGTTGAGGCCAGTTACTGCGGGAACTAAATATAAGACAGAGTGACACTGGAAAGGAACCGAGAACAACTTCACTCTAGTTTTAATTTGGCTGCTGAAGTGGAACTTGAGCTCTGTAATAATGTGTTCCTCTTCTGTATGTCTGACATTTAAAATCAACCCCCTATCATGGTGCACAATTATATTGCATAATCCTGCCAGGTCAGTATCATCAGTCACAGCTATACCACACATCCTGATTTCAAAGACTTTGGATGCACTATGACTGTAGTAGCTACATAATAGGGAAATCTGTCATGTCAGTGTGATAACAAACTGCTTAACTAGGCTATTAGTAACTCGTTCTTTGCACCCAGGGTCAGCTGATCAAGAGGGAAACACCTTAGCTAAGTATGCAACTGAAATGTGGCACTTACGCAATTACATGCATATACTCGTTGAACTTTTCCAAGAAACTAGTGAGGGTGCCAGGCTCTTCAACAATGATCTTCTTCTTCATCTCCTCCACAGTATTCACTGGCAGAGGTATACCACGCCTCCTAACATAGGGCAAAAAAAGGAAATAGAAAAATGTAAAAACTGCATTGAAATGTAAGAATTTAATTTTACCCTTTATAAATGTTTTTTAACTGAGTTGTGTACTTTGTTTAATAGAAATTTGGAACAGCAGTAATTTGTGTGACATAAACCACTAAAAATCTGAATAAAAACATTTGACTGTTTTGGTGACTGATATTCATCACCCAAGCCTTCTGAGATGGAGTATATTGCTATTTTGCCAAATCAAATGAGATGAGAACTACCTGACTAGGAACAAATGGTAGACAAATGTCATAAAAAATATAGCTTGTATATAAAGGAAGCTTGTAGCCTCCTGAAATAAAATGTAAAGCCACTGCATAAGTGACTTAAACCTCCACTCTTTCAAACTGCCAGCAGTCGGCTACTCTGGTTGGAATTTACAATTTTCAAAGTAGTTAAGATTCAGGGCACGGCTACCTTGTGTGTTTGATGTCAGTGAGTATGAGCCTCTAACAATAAAGCTAAGAAATTACCAATTTCGCTCTGCACTTATTCTCTTGGAAAATAACACAACTGCTGCCGTAGCATTTTTTTCTTAAATGAATCTACACTAGGCATGTCACCAGAACTAATCTTTTGATATTACAATTTTTAAGGAACAACGCAGACAGTGTCAGCAGCATATGTACCGAGGCTCACATTGTTCAGAATTGACATGGACAGCATACACCTGCCAATGTTTTTGTAATACCCTTACATGCTGAAGAAGAAAAATGCCCACAAGCCACTGCAAAAACTACATTAGAAAGATGGCGACTAGAGAGCAGCTCTGACAATAACTCCACCCTGACTCACTGATAAGAAAGGAAGTTACAGACAGGCATATGTTTTCCTCAAATACAAGTTACATCTTTTTTGAGACAGCAGGCAGTGACATGATGAAATCAACTATGCTCCATGTTTGCAACGGCTAATGCTCACGCTAATATAATGCAATTAACATTATACCAGAGGTGGGCAACTCCAGGCCTCGAGGGCCGGTGTCCTGCAGGTTTTAGATGTGTCCTTGATCCAACACAGCTGATTCAAATGGCTAAATGACCTCCTCAACATGTCTTGAAGTTCTCCAGAGGCTTAGTAATGAACTAATCATGTGATTCAGGTGTGTTGAGCCAGGGTGAGATCTAAAACCTGCAGGACACCAGCCCTTGAGGTCTGGAGTTGCTCACCCCTGCATTACACCGTGCAGTAATGTTAGAAGGCGACTCGACAGCCATCCTAATTTCAGTCTGTGGCCTGTCAACAAAATATAATGTTAAGATTTTTACTCAATGGTCTACCTTGACCATATCAGTGATTTAAAACTACTTTCTAATAAAGGAGTTTATTTTCACCAATAAAAACGATATCAAGAGTCAGTGATTTTGGTACCATGTAAAAAAACAAAAAAAACAAAAACATTCTGGCATCCTAGTTCACGCTCCATATTACAATTTCCCAGAGCATAATTCCTAATGGGCCAAATGCCTTTTGAAAATAAAGCTGGAGAATTTCTTTTGGCCTGTATCATCCAAAATACCTGCCATGACAGTTAATATCTAAACGTCCATAATAAAAAACTAATACAATTTAAATATATTAACTCACTGGGCAACATCCATAATGGTCTGCACCCTGATGGCTCCATCCAGGTGCACATGCAGCTCAACCTGTGAATGAGAAAGTTTGTTACCAAATAAACTGATTATCAAAAATACTTCCACCCAGAAACCTGGTGGAGTTTATAGAAGACAAATATGATGTCAGTGGAGCAGCAAGCAAGAGCAGGGGTGTGTTGCAATTCTGTGATTTGGCTGCAGCCCATCGTGAATGCAGTATGCATGACAGAGCAACAAGTGGTGAAAAGGCCAGCAGTGCCAGGGAAGGGTCACAATAAGTATTCTGGCTCTCCTTCCATCGCTGTGAGTGCTGATTTTTCCAACCAGATGACAAATGATAAATCTCTGCCCCTCCCTTAACAGCTGAGACCTTGGTTGTCACAGCGAGGTTCAAATGAAAATTTTCCTACCACAGACATTTAATTCTAACCTCTGGTTAGAAGTGATGATGAGCAAAGAACTAGGCAAGGTTATTGAAACTTGTTTCAATAGAAGTTAATCTTTTTATTGCATTAATCAACTGCTTAATATGCTTTAATCTGCTTCTGATTGAGCAGTGGGAACCGACACAGGATACTGTTTTTGCCAAAGCTTAAAATTAGAGAAACTTGGGACAGTTTAGGACATTATCTGAAGATGAGGTAGGGTGAAGGCAGAACACATGGTAACCACATGCACACTGTGATTATTAGCACTAATCTCACATTGGCTGTATTCTCATGTGCGCCTCTATCAGTGTTTACAAAGGTTTATGCTGCAGTGCACATGTAAAAAAAAAAAGCTCATGTTTTTATTGCTCTGAAGCAAGCAGGGCTCAGTGGGAAAAGCTGATGTACTCACTTTCATGCTCCAAAATCATCAAATTCTGACAGCTGGAATGTTTAGTCACCATTTTTTGCTTCTTTAGAAATTGATATTTCACATTAAATAAATATTATAGAGAAAAGCGTCAGGCTCTGAAAAGACTTATTAAACCCTGGACAGCTGAATTTAAGAGCGCCGGGATTTCTGATGTCCTACTGTTTCCCTGGAAAATGCCAGATGTTGTGGGTTTGCATCTTTTACACCTGGAAAAGCTTGGCTTCATCCCATATGGTTGAAAGCATGTTTCCAACATAAAAGGGAATTCAAAGGCTTGATGTCACTGGCACCTGTTAAAGGATGGGTTTGGAAATATGGCAAATCTCTGTGCGGTTTTCTAAATAATTTTTCATATCAGAACTTTCAATAATAACAATGAATAGAAATGATTTAATTGGAGCTGTTAAAATACAGATCTGCAATATCCTATCTGTAGCTCTGCGCTTGACAGAAAGAGGCTTTATGCATTATTAAATGAAGTTATGTCGGTTAAGTGGAGCCACACAACCTTCTTATCATACTTCTGTCTAAGAACAAGCCTAAGCTGTGAGTAATGTTAAAAACAACATCAGCACAGTATTTCCATTGCATCAAATGTTCTGAATTTGAGTGTGCTGCGATGCTGGCCTGTGAAACTTGTGACAGAACCATGAAATCCCAATTTTATGGAAAGATTAAAAAGTCTGTCTTTGTCTATTGATCACTTTAGAAAAATGAGTAACACTACTCAGTTTTCAGTAACTCTGGTACTTTGAAGGCTCCAGATTAAAGTTCATAAATTAACTCAGACAGAAAATTAGCAACTATTAATACTTACAAGTTGCTTAAAGTGTTTCACATTATTAGCTTCCAGCTCTACATGTACAGCTTTATGTTTTTTTTCTGTTTTATATTGTCATGCTAAAACATAATAAATAACAATATAACCACCAAATGCCATCATGTATTATATATACATGAACGGGGCAGGGATGGCTCAGTAGGTAGAGTGGTTGCCCCATGATCGGAAGGTCAGGGGTTCGAATCCACTGAATGGCTACTCTGAGGTACCCCTGAGCAAGGTACCGTCCCTACACACTGCTGCCTGAGCGCCTGCTTAGTGGCTGCCCACTGAGTGAATGGGTCAAATGCAGAGGAAAAACAAGTAATTTCCCCATGGGGATCAATAAAGTATGCATTATTATTAATACATATTTTCCTCTTTTTTGTATAGTACGCATGACTTTGAAAGTTAGCATGAAGCTGAAAGTTTTTACATAAGAGTTGTGTTAGATAGATATGCAGGTATTTCTGCTGCAATCATGGTGTCAGACTCCTCAGAGCAGGTGTGTCACCCATCAAAGAAGAAACTGAAAATTTAAAAAGTTTCAACCACTTAACTGTATAACTGCATAGAAATTCCCAAATATGAGATGAATTAAGTATTTCTCACTATGATCTGTTTCCGCCTGCAAAAGATCTTCAATGACACAACCTTGCACTTTTTGAAAAGACTGAAAGGACTTTTTTCAGAGTCCAGTAATATCCTATTGAAACACAACAACTTAGTAGAAAATTGCTAGTTGGAGCAAGATTTGCTTCTATTACATGAACTGTCTACACAGCTCCGTAGCTGCATCCTTTTTGGTGTGACAATGGTAACCAAAGAGCAGATGTTTCTATCCAAATGTTCACCACAGAAATGCGTGTGCATCTTTGAGGTTGTTGATGTCCCTTGCCTACAATACCACACAAAAGCCGAGCGTGTCAGCAATATTGCATCCACATGGCTGATGCAGACAGGAGACAGCTGGGTAATCAAGTTCAAGTTCAGGGATTTCTTTCTTTCAGGAAAATAGCAGTTCCTCTAGCACATTGTGTGCCTTATACAAACCAGTGTCACAAACAAGCTGTTTGTGAAGCTGCTTTTTAAGAAAATGACCACTTATCTACTCTGTAATTATTAGGCAATCCTAAAATAGGAAGTTAAAAAAAAAAGTTTGGACAGGATTCCAGTTGGGTCTATTTTGAAGCAACATTTGACTTCTGTCATCGCACAAAACTTTATGTTTCTATTTGCCTTAGCACGTTTAATGTGATGCAGCTGTGCAGCATTAAAACATAACAGAAACTCAATGAGAGCACAGTATTCAGTCTTACTGAAACTCTTTCACAGATTTCTGCTATTTTATAGATGAAGCAAATATTGTGTGATCAACAAAACTAATCAATCAGTGGTGATCATTTGCTACTTTGCATTACAGGATTGTACATTGAATATGTTTGGTTTAGAACAGGTGGTCTGATAAAATAAGACATGCACAGATGCAAAATGTTTAGTGTATTTTTGTCATGATGTATGTGTTATGAGCCATTTCTTTAAGAAATGAATTATTACATTAGCAGACACCAGACCTAAGACAGCAAAGAAACCCGCTGAAACTAGTCTGACCAAACTTCCTGAAAATTTAAGCACCAGTCTGCAGAAAAAGTAATGTGAAAATTTGTCATAACAGTACTGTTCAACACTCATAGCTTATTCTTTGTTGACATTGGCTGTATTTCAGCTTTATGTGATTGGAGTTAATTATTGGAAATACATATGTCAGGTTGCCAAATATGACACTATGCATAGATTAAATTCTTGGACCCAGGAACATGAAGACAACATTTCTCCCATTTATTTTTTTCACTCTCATTTAGATGTGATGTGCAACTACTGAAACTTTAATCCAGATCCAGAACTTCCAGGTTGGGCCAAACATCGAATTAAACTCTTTTTCAGTAATCCAACTAAGCAACAAAACAAGTCATGTAGCCTCATACGTGGAGTTAATTCGCTTAACACAACCATAGTTTAGCAAACACAACCCAATGATCACATACCGCACTAATCCTGAACTACAGCACTGTGATGCATTCAGCATATACAGTAAAACGTGTTTGGTGAACCGGTGACAGTTGTTGCTGCACACAATGAGCTCTTCAACTGCATATTAGTGTGTAATGAGATTATCTCTTCCAGCAGCCACCGCACCCTAAGGTTAGGTTATCTCCATTTACAAATTTTTCACAAGCCAACATCACGTGACCTCAACACTGCATGGCAACAGAACCCACATCTTTTTCTCTACTTCTAAGAAGGTAACAGGTTTCAGGCTCCAAAGGGCACCAATATACACTTCTTGCCTGTGTGCCTGATTTGCATGTCAAACTGTCTGACTAATAAACGTTTATTTGACTGTTAAACTCTGTTATGGTCATCGGTTGTCAGTATCATCCCTTTAAAAGTATTATTGATAAGCTATATTAGGAAAATAATGTAAAAGTTGTGTTTCGTTTGTTTATTATTCAGCGAGGATAGAATCCGGCGCATTAAGCCTTTTATGCCACGAGCGGACATTAATTCATAAATTTTTAACTGCCACGATCAGGTTTTGAGACTTTCCCCAATTGCTTTGCTTTGCGGCAAAAAGGCATTGAAATGAAAGGTGCTGCACACGGCTCCTTTCATTCATACAACAGGTTTTGTCCGTTTAAAGGAGGGTAGCCAAATTTCAAACTCCAAGCAAGAAAAATAAAGTTTTTCCGTGTTTGAGTGCGGGTATTACGACAGCAGGAAGGAAGTTGGGGTTTTTTTTTTTAAAAAAGTTAAACTTTATTTTATGTTTAATTTTTAAACCTTTCTTTTGAGTCCTTTTTTGTCGAGGGGGTTCTCACAATAGGGTTCTCAAACAGTGTCAAAGCAGGCGTACCGGGCGTAAAACCATGGAAAATTGAAAAAGAAACCGCTTGAATTATTAAAGCTCACACTACAGTGAGCCGGCTGAGCTGTGAACGTACCTTCGGCTTGCTGAATACTACTTGTTCAGATGAGCGATCGGCCATCGTAGAGAAAGCGTTGTGGCTGAGCCTGCTGGTGTACAGAGAGCTGACGAGTGGAGAACCGAAGCTTATCGCCGCTCGCCTTGCTATTATATGCATGACTCAGGGACACGCCTTCTTTCCCCTCCCAAATGCAAAAAGCAGCGCCAAGAGGCTGTTTTTTGCTGGACTTTAATAGTGAGAAGTGATGGTGTGCAGATCAGCAACAGGCTGTGCGCTTTAGTGTGCATTAAACATGCGTAGCCTTAACAACAGCGAGCAGAAGGATTAATGGCTCTGTTGTCTGTGGCAGCAGCTTTGCACCCATGTGATGCGAGCTTTGTAGCCATCTAATTGGCCTAATAATATGAAACCAGCGATTTCGTTTGCATTTATTCAAATCTCTGATCACCGACCCCAGAAAAGAACAATAATCACAAACAAAAATATTAATTTTGTTGCAATAAACTTCACTTTGGAGCTTTTAAAAGAATCCGTTTACCTCAAAGACCATTGGCCTACTTCAAATGCTTCAAATAGCTGGCTGTGGAAAGTGCACAACCTCCTAATCCCAACAACAGGTTAGACTCTTTTTCTGTCAGCATTAAAAGTGTTGAACTCAGACCTGAATTAAGGGCTGAAACCGTTTTATCTTTAGGTTTTAGTTGGGAAACAATAATAATGGCACCATATGGCAGTGGGAAGCATTATTTTTGTATTTTCAGATTTCATATCACAGAGATAACTAGCTGGTCCCCGTTTCTCATACCACTTACAAAAATGTAAAAAGCACATTCGCAGCTTTGGTTTCCATCATCTGCAGCTATAAAGACATCATGTTTCTCTTGAAATGTTTATCACTAATCTGCATCTCTGAGGCTGCTGTTATCGCGTTTAAAAACAACTTCACAAAGATGCAGAATTATTGCAATGTCATTTCTGTCTGCAGAAAGCAGGCAACTTTAACCAATCTATAAGTTATGCAATGCAGTGATGCAAAAAAGCTGTTTGAATAACTGTTTAACACATAACTGTAACTGGTGCACTATTAAATAAAGTTAAATAAAATTTGAATAAAAGGTATGTGAATAAAAAACCCTGGATCAGATCACAGTTCTAGTCCATTTTGATCAACATTTGACTGCATGGAAGCCCCCGGGTCAGTAACACTGCAGCATCAAGCCTCTCTTTAATCTGTTGTTGGATGTTACACACAACATTACAACTGCTTGATGCCTCTGCTGTATCATGTATCATATAATTTGCTTCCTTTTGCATTTTTTATATATATAACTGAAAGAAATATATATTACTGCATGCATTATTGCTGCATTATTCTACAGTAAACATACAATATTATTTGCATTTGGAAGGAAAACATTAAAGCTTTATTAAACACATTGTTTTCCACCAATTTTAACGTAATATAATAATTAGTTGAGTGAGATTTATAGAAACCTGCCTAAAGGAAAAACATCTCTGTGTGTATGGCGGAGGTGTGACATGTGAGCATTATAACAGGATGCGATGGTGAATTCTAATGAAGAGGATCAACCTTATGTGAATTCAATGAAGCAGAAAATGAATTGTTATGTAAGAGTACAAAAACCTGTTTTAGGTGATGCTCAAATTTCAATAATATTTCTGCCTAATCAAAACTTTTTGTCGTCTGCTTTGACAACACTTTATAAAAACCGTACTTTCTTTTTTACACAAAGAACATTTTGGTCCATGGGAATCTAAACAAAGTGAGCACATCCTCTTTTAACTTGAGTCCAAACAGCTGTGAACAGAATGTCAAACTTGCGTGCTATATTTTCAATCTGCTTTGGCAGCAGATTTTGCATTTTAACCAATGCTGACCTCCCCTGAAATCAGCCCAATCATCATTGCCAGTCACATGTGACCACTCTCCACTTAGTTTCTACTTTCAATCCACAGAAGCCTTCTGTTTGCTGCCAAAAAAACACTAAAATGATTCATAATAGTGACATTTCTGTATGAGCCCCTTGTTCTTTTTCTATTATAAATTATCAGCATTTTTGTTATGAGATAGTAATTCAGTTTTCTTTGCTGAGGTTTTGAATATCCTGCTTCCAATTAAACGGGCCAGAAGAATTTTATTTGTGAGGCCTAAAGCTGGAAAATTAGATTTGAGCAGCTCCAGAGTCCTTCTTTGTCCAGATAATCTGTCCGTCTTGCTGTGAGCAGTTTTCTCAAGAACCTTTTTATCACTGAAAACCAGTGGTGGAGGAAGTGGCTATCCCCGTCCTTTATGTAATAGTTCAAGTAAAAATACTAATGCAACAAGTACTCAAAGCCATACACTAACAATGTTACTTCATTAAAAACAACTGTAGAATGATCAGAAATTGTACTTATCATTTTCATTAAAAAAAAAGGTTATACAGATATGTATTTAAGCAATACTGGAGTTACTTTGTTATATCCACCCGTGCTGAAGACACAGTTTCTGTTTAAAGCCTCTTCAAGACCGAGCGTACACAGAGGTTCCTCTCTTCACTTCCTAGCATCAACAAGTGGTTGTAGCTCAGAGCAATCCTACAATTTTTCATCAACAAAGAATCCATTTTCAATTTAAAAAACATTCCACTGAGCCAGTGTGAAAAAATATCTGAGTGCCTCCCTTCACTCCTTTCCTCTTCCATAAATAAGTCTCCATTACATGCTTATTAGCATGTAAACAGTGCAGCATTTAATAAAGATAAGGAAGATTGTGCAAGAACTGGACTGACTCTTGGTTAACACAAGTCTGACATGTTAACTGTTAACAGCTGTTAGCTCATCTGCCCCATTAATGTAGAGACAATGGCATGTTTTAAAAAAGCTGCACTACAGATGTGAAACTATAAATCTGATGTGTCTTTAACAGAGAGTTTTTTCTAAGGCCTTACACATGAAGCTCTTTTTAGCGAGGTCGATTAGAAAATGTTTTGAAAAGCCTTTTGTGCAGGCACAGGAGAAATGAGAGAAAAACATGCATGGTCGACAGTTCCCATTTCCTTTTTTATCTTCTTATTATCATCATAAGAAACAGAGAAGTCTTTGTCTTAAAGAATAAACAAATATTCATATCGAAAGAAAGAGGCTACACATATCTTAAATATTTGCTTTTTGTTGCTCCTTGTAGGATATCAAAAAGGACAAGTTTGCTTTGATGTTTGACAAATACAGTAATGTTGGAAATGGTACATGTCATTTTAATCAATGAGATTCAGACATGCCGTTAAGTGGATGCTACAAACTACACAGATTAGATTTCATTCAGCAATTCAGAATGAATGTTTGTGAATGGCTGTTTTACTGTAGTCCAAAAGTGATATTGGCCAGGACCTCACTCAAAGTTAGTTTGTGCAATCCAGGAAGGAGGTCTCTCCTTTCTTTCTTTCTTTCTTTCTTTCTTTCTTTCTTTCTTTCTTTCTTTCTTTCTTTCTTTCTTTCTTTCTTTCTTTCTTTCTTTTTACAGCTTACACAACCTTTTATTTATGGACAGCACCACGGACATGTTGTCAACAGGATACATGTTTTCCCCCAAACTGTTCCCACAAAACTGCAGAGTCTGCAGTTGTCATAAATATCACTTTATGACTTTGCTTTAATCTTGCAATACTTCACATATTCTCTGAATAACATGATAATTACTAACAGATGTGCTTGTGGCTTGCTGTTTCCAGTCATTTTGGAGAACATTTATTTGCTTCTTTAGTTCAGTACAAACTGTTTCTGTTTAAATTGATTTTAACAGAAACAGGTGGTTAAATCTTATCCAGTGTTTAGAACAGAAAATGGAAGAGAAACTGACAGATCAGCAGTGAACATTCACAGCTGGGCGTCACTTGAAAACAGACAGGATTTATACACTCATTAGTGCACTGCCAAAATCATTGTGACTGGACATGATGGCAAAGTCTGTGCAGCAGAGACTGGACAGGTGTTATAGCTGCCAATAGAAAGCCCAGCAAATTTCCAGCAGGTGGCAGTGAAACATAACCTAAAATGTCTACTCAAACCGAAGGTAGATTTACTTTCTACCATGTGGTGTTATATGCTTTTGTATAGACTGGACATAAACTATGCAAACTACTTGGTACATTTTCAAAAGGTCTTGTTCAGTTGTGAAGTTTTAGTCCTGCCATCAGGAAGGTGCTGCTTCTCATTTTGGTGATCTTGAGTTTTCAAAACTACACCAGGCAGCACCAATGGTGAGGGAGAAGGAGGGTGGGTGTTGTCTTTGGCACACATTTGATTTGCTGTTTGGGTTTCTCCTCCCACAAATATTCTCACATTCACAAATCTCACATGATGTTATGCAAAGGAAAGCTGCAAACATGACCACATTCCTCAATGTGACACGATTTATTGATGAAAACATTTACATTTCATCTCCATGAATTCATCTCCACATGTTGCAGATGTTCAAAAGTATTACAAAAAATACAACCCTGATTGCAAAGAAATTGGAATAGTGCTTAAATAAAAAAACTTTGATAACTTGCAAAGATCATAAACCCATATTTTTTTTTTTACAATGAAGCGAAACAAAATGTTTACATTGAAATAATGAGAAAAATTTTAAAGAAGGAAACAAGGTCTTTTTAAGTTTGATGTCAGCAACACGGCAGGCCCATGTTCTGTGCAGCATTCTCTTTTATTTTAACAAAAGTCTGTAAATGTCTGGAAACTGAGGAGACCAGTTGCTGAATGTTGTTGTCTGATAGTCTTGCTGCTTTTCTTTGCATCTTTCATTTCGTGATTTGTCAAAAGTTTTAAGATAAGATAACCTTTATTAGTCCCATGCGTGGGAAATTTGTTTTCAGTTGTTGTAATGTCAACGTTATCACTTGGACCCTTCTACTGCAAAGCCATGCAGTTGTATTGAATGCATTACACAAGACATGCCTGAAAAAAATGTGAGCATATGTTGCTCACACCCAGAAAGAAAAATAATTTTCAATTTCAGATAACGCGACCACAAATGTTGTCACATTCACATGTGGCTTCTTCTTTTCATGATAGAGCTTTAACCTGCATTTTTGGATGGCACTGTGAACTTTGTTCATAGACACTGATGTCTGGAAG